GTGTGTGTGTGTGTATGTGTGTGTGTGTGTGTGTGTGAGTAGAATCTCACCTGACGTCCTGAGAGACTGAAGTGTATCCAGGTCATTGGCCGCGCACGCGCGCGTGTGTGTGTGTGTGTGTGTGTGTGAGTAGAATCTCACCTGACATCTGAGAGACTGAAGCGTATCCAGGTCATTGGCCATGCGCCTGTGTGTGTGTGTGTGAGAGAGAGAGAGAGTGTGTGTGTGTGTGGTGTGTGTGTGAGTAGAATCTCACCTGACGTCTGAGAGACTGAAGCGTATCCAGGTCATTGGCCGTGCGCCTGTGTGTGTGTGTGTGAGAGAGAGAGAGAGTGTGTGTGTGTGTGTGTCCCTTGGGTTTTGTGGACGGTTCAGGTGAGATCTGTAGTTTTCCTGCACCTGTGAGCATGTAACAAATTACCAGCATTAACTGCAGCTGCGTCAGAAGTTTTCTCTTGTGCGAGTCAAAAGTTAGTGCTTGACCCAGTTAGAGGAACATTCCGGGTTCAGTGCAACTTAAAGGGATAGTTCACATAATTTACACCCCTTGCGTTGGTTCAAAGTGTGTGTGTTGTGTGTTGTGTGTCTGATGCAGGTGAGATCAGACATTCAAACATTCAATGGCCAGAAATCTATTTACACAAGATCATATTCACATGAATCATTTTATCCAGAACAACTTACAAATGAGAGACGAGCTGACATTTCATCTGCTGAGAGAAACATGGAAATATATTTCACACACTGCAAAAAATTATTTTCTTATATATATGTATATTTGTCAATTTTCTTTTAGTTTTTGTCTTGCTTTCCAGAACAAACATCTACAGGTTCTTAAATCAAGATACATTTACTGGAGAAACCAAATGACTCAAGTCTTGCTTTCTGTCAAAAAATGATCAAAATTAATCGAGTTTATGTCTAACACAAGACAAAAAAAAAATGCCAATGGGGTCAGAAAAATAAACTTGTTTTCCCTTTGAATTAACTTTATTTTTCTGATTTCAAGTACAGATTTTTTCTGGTTTTAACCCTCTGGTGCTGTTCGTGTGGCAGTCAAAAATGAGTGACTTTTTTTTTGCTCAATGAAATGAATGACTATATTTTAGTTTATGTTTATTTAGTATTTAGTATTTTATGATTTAGGATTTTATGGTGCTAAATTATATTTATGAAATAGTTATGATCCATTTATTACCTGTTAACCATATTTTGAGCATAGACCTGAAAATGAAATTTCCAACTTAAATTGCTGTAAATCTTGAATGCTTTGGAGCGCAGACTTACGTTTGGTGTCTTATTTAAGAAAACACTTGGCAGATTATTGCTGAAGTGAAAAAAGTTTAAAAAGTGAAACAAAAAAAAAAAGTTATAGATGTTTGTTTTATTATTGTGAAAAATGCACAAAAAAACTATTTTTAAATTGTATATGAAATATATGTTTTCCAAAGCATGCTTTACTCTAAAACTTTGTGAAAATCTGAACAAGTTGTGTTCCAAATTTTAGGTGGATATCTCAAAAATGAGGAAGATTTTGTTTGGGCGGAGTACTGAACGTTTCCAAACGATGGAATTCTAGTGTGTGTGTGTGTGTGTGTGTGTGTGTGAGTGTGTGTGTGTGTGCTCACATAAAAAGTGCCAAATCATTTACCAAGTTGTAAAAATAAAAATAAAAATGGATTCTGTCTGTCTGTGTACCTGCTGAGAGACAGATGAGAGTTCAATCAGCGTCCTCACTTTTCACATTACAGAGTGTTTCAGAGCAGCTTTAGAAACACGATTAATAAACCCTGAGAGAAACAGAGAAATAAACTGAGTAATCCACTATTTTGTAGAAAGGGGTCAAAATGACCATTTTCACCTGAGATTCAAAGCCAAATTACAGGAGGGCAAAGGATTTCAGAAAGATGGCAGCATCATTATGTTAGTTTGACACAGAGATTGGTTGGTGTATTAGTAAAATCTGTTGACTTTATCAATCTTTGTTTCATTATATGCCAGTGGTGACCGTTCAAAAATGGGAAATCCCTCTATCAAAACAATTGCATTGAACACACCTGTCTGAGCGCGAAAAATGCATTAACATGGTTAAGTTGAGGCACATTAACTTGCTCTCAGTAGTGTATTCAAAGGATTCTATATCTGAATCAGTTTTGGGGATATATGGAAGAAGGGATTTTATTCAGTTTACATGCGTTTGAAGCTGTACTGCAAACATGTAGTATCATGTCTACCAATTTACTCCTGGAGCCACATTGAGATCTCAATTTCTCTGGAAATGAACCATATAGGGCCTTAAAAATTAAGATGCCAAAAGAAGTTATTTTCGAACCAGTATCATAAAGTATATTAAGATATCTTTAATGCATCTTGAGTTACAGGCATGCAAACTTTGGAAAAAGAACACAAAAAGTGCATTTTTCCTATTTTTGAACAGTCACCATTGGCATATGATGCAACAAAGACTGATAAAGTCAACAGATTTGACTAATAAAGCTTCCAATCTCTGTGTAAAAAATTACACAATGATGCTGTCATCTTTCTGAGGTCATTTTACCATCCTGCAACTTGGCTCCAAATCTCAGATGAAAATGGTCATGCAGGGAATTTTGTGAAGTTTGGTTGGCCTGACACTGAATGAGCCAGCAGCGTGAGATGAACACAAGTCTGAAATATGTGTCCCGGATCACGATCTACTCTCAGTGAAGAGCAGGACAGAGTCACAGCAGCGTTCGTCTGACACCTGCACTGGATTCATCCGCTGCTGTTTGGTGTGAAACGTGACGCTCAGTTACGAGACGTGTCAGGAAAACATCCAG